TTTTGTGATCTGAGCATATAAAGCTACTATTAACTCTTGTGCAGTCACTATCAGACATGAGTTTTGTTACGTGCCAGATATCCTAAGCTCACCAGACCTTTACTTGGATATATAACAACCTTGAGCAGACTCATTTCCAACATGCACATGCTCTTCAATATGTATCTCTGTGTCGCACACCACACTGTTAAAAAAAAAAATCCTAGAAAAACAGTAATATTCGGGCAGCTGGGACGCCAAAATAATACCATGAAATTACAGAAAATAACTTTCCCATAAAAATATGGTTATTTTCAGTAATGACAATACAGTTTGTTGCCCTAATTTTACATGGGATTTTGCCTTTTTCATGTGCTTTTAAACATTAAATTAGGAACACTTTAATGTGATCAAACAATGAAATTACCTATAAACAAGGTCAATGAATGTGGCAATATGAATAATAATACTTAAATGTACAGAAATATACAGTTAACAGTTGGTTTAAAGAATAATGGATTGCATGCCCTGGGACAGACTGACAGAGGCGAGGCTGCCATATCGCACCATCGGCCATCACCAGTAGGCGAAGTGTCTTGACCAAGGACACACGACCGAGAGTGTCCGAGCCGGGGCTCGAACCGGCAACCTTCTGATTACAAGGCAAACTGCCAACGCTTGAGCCACGAGCACCCTAAACAGCAATAATAGTAATAATTATTTGATGTAAACAAAGTTTATAGGAATCATGTTATATATTTTTCCATAGCATTACATTTGAATTTAACAGTTCAATCCTTCACATAACGGACAAATATTTGTGCAATCATGATGCATTTGTGAATGTATTTTAACAATCTAAATATGCACATGTACAGACAAATACATTTACAAAACTATTTATGTAAATTTAATGATATTCTAAAAGAACAGAACAAAACTGTAAAATACTTTTATATTAGGACTTTTTCTTACAGTGCACTTTACAGCAAATACTACAGCAGGAACTGCATTTACACCTTGTATAATGATTGATTTGTGGTAATGCATTACTTTAAAGTAGGTCAAGCACCCCTGGAGTTTTCCATTATGTTAATCGCCCCATAGTCGACTGTTCATCTCGCTGTGTCATTACAGAAGTGCAGCTCTGGCTTCTACAGAGAGTGGGCCGGACCGAACAGGGGCCAGTGTGTGCCATGCAGCTGC